TTTTTGTGAATATTTCCTCCTAGACGTCAAAAGAGGAAATAAAAATGTTGATTGTATCTACTACATTACTCCGAATGACTTAAAAACTTAATAAATTTTCGTTACTCTTTTCTTTGACAAATTCTTCAAACAGTGCAGTTTTGATAGTGCACTTGCCACTATGCTTCACAAGTACAAAGGTTGTTAGTGAGGTCCCTCCCCCATAAACGATGCAGCAGACATGGATTAGCTGCTCAAAAAACCTCAGAGCAGCCACGTGAGGCTGCAGGATGGGGCTTTTACAGAGCTTGAGTTAAATCTCAGAAATGCCACTTCAACACCATCTGACCTCGGACAATTCACGCCACTTTTTTGGTTTCCTTACCTTTACAATTTCTTTCATTTGGTGAAAAACGTGAAACTGTGCACTACGGATTAACAAATAAGCACAAGTAAGCCCGTGCGTACCTTACTTATTGAGTAATCTGTCCTACTTGAACACTCCCCTCCGCCTCAGATTACTTCTTAAAATAACAGGTAAAACTAAATATATCCTTTGAACAAATTTAGGATTCAAGATCAACAAAATAATTTACAAAACCACTCAACAGCTACTAGAGTTTTAAACTTGACAGAAAATCAGATTAAGCAATAAAGCAATGAAAACGGTGTGTCAAAATGTAACATTTTTCTGTTTTTTAATTTAACAGATTTACTGAGACATAACCCATATACAGTGAACCTGTGAGAGTGGACCCGATGGGGCTGCCTTGTTTTTCAAGGTCTCGCGAGTTTTCCACCTTTGACAGGACGCAGTCTTACCACTTTTCTATTGCTTGTTTTAGTGGAAAATATGTTAATTTTCTGTCTTACACAGGTTTCGGCTTTTACAGGTTTTACTATACCATAAAATTCAACTGTTTAAAGTATACAACTCAGCGGTATTTAGTATATTCACAGATATGCAACCATCACCACGATTTAATTTTAGAACATTTTTATCATATGTATCACATCCAACAGACCTATTAGCAGTAACTCCCCATTCCTCTCCACCTGCTCCCCTCACCCAATAATCAACTTCCTCTATGAATTTGCCTATTCTGGACATTTCATATTTAAAGAACCCAACTTTAGAAAATTTACATTAACTTTATGAAATATACTTATTAGACCATGGTAAAAGGCCTTTTTAAAGATTCGGATGTATCTCCAACTGAACCCCAAACTTGGCTATCCTCTTTAAAAGGATTTATCGTTCAGTATCTTTGAATTAAGGTGAACTAGGTAACTCACTATCATTAAAGTTTCAAGAATATGTACCTGTTCCCTAAATTCTTAAAAGGCCCATGACAGTAAATGTCCACGTTGTAGGCTTCCCTAGCAGGTTATCTCTAACTCTTTAGCTAAAACTTAGCACTGATGTACAAAGTCAAAAGGAGGACATAAAGGGGAATCCTTGGCTAAAGTGCCTAACGATATACTGGGGCTGCTGCAGAGGGAGATTTACAGAGTATGGGGTTCGTCACCAATGGATCTCTAAGGCAACAGTATACCTAGAGCGGAGCAATGGGTACAGTCTACACAGATGCAGGTAATAAGTAGGCGAAGTTCTCCAAATACAATAATAAAACTGACTGAAAGCCAGTTTATATTTTCAACAATTGATGTAGTTACTGTTGAGTGTTAATATAAATGTGTTAAATCTGCACATCTTTATTAACCAAAAAAATCCAAGCTCACTGCTGTTGAGTTGATTCTGACTCATAGCAACCCTATAGGATAAAGTAGATCTGCCCCATGGGGTTTTCCAAGGCTATAATCTTTATGGAAGCAGACTGCCACATCTTTCTTCTGTGGAGTGGCTGGGGTTCGAACTGCCAATTTTTCAGTTAACGGTTGAACACTTAACCACTGCACCACCAGGGTTCCTTCCTATCTGTATTACATATCGTTTAATAAACAATCTAGTCTATATGGAAATTCACTCAGAAACTCCCCAGTTACATGGTGAGCAGCCACCACATGCAAATTTGCTGTAATTGTTTTTCAGAGAATAAGTTCCGTGGTATATATACATATATTCCTGTGCTTAAGGGAAGGAGCCCTGGTGGCACCGTGGTTAAGCCCTCACTGCTAATCGAAAGGTCGGCGGTTCAAACCCGCCAGTTGCTCCATGGGAGAATGATGTGGCAGTCTGCTTCTGTAAAAAGATATACAGCCTTGGAAACCCTGTGGGGCAGTTCTACTCTGGCGTACAGGGTCGCTAGGAGTTGGAATTAACTAGATGGCAGTGGGTTTTTTGGTTTGGTATTGAAGCAGCACACTCAAAACATGAGAGTTGTGTCAACTTTTCTTTCCTAAATCCGCCCCACTCTCCCAGGAATGAAGCTTTAGATGAGGTTAATCATACACAAAGGTATCTGCAAACAGCCAGAATCAGCCTCGAACAAACGAATAGTGAAACGCAAGCTTTAAAATTAAATATCTATGAACAAAAATTATGGAGAAAGCCATTAACTAAGCAACAAAATGCAATGAAATGGACATTTACATAGAATTTCAAGTGTTTACCAAATGTAATAGAAATTTATATTGAACTTTCTGGTAAAAACTTTTTAAAGAAATTTTTTGACTGAGGAGACATTTGCAAGTCCTTGGAATCAATGCTGAAAAAAGACACAGACAGTATTGTGATTTCCAAAATTTATTGTGAAATAAGATTTTTATAAATCTCTGCCAAACATACCCTTATGTTTAACACTTTTCCTATTTCTGTTGCTTCAGGTAAGACGTATTGTGACTAAAATTAATAAGTTGGTGACAGGTTGATAAATCTGGCTCTATTTGTCTACTAAACAAGACAAGTAAGTGAAGATCGATTTTGACAGTCACTGACAAATCTGCAGAAGGTTTGGAAAGACACTGGAATACTATTATTATTATGACAGACCAGTATGCAGATACATTTCTCCTTTTTCAAAAAAAAAAATTAATGCAATTTAAAGTATTAACCCACTACTTTTCTTCACTGAACTATTTATTCTATTGTCACTAGCACATATATAGTTACCTACGTGAATAACATAAATATATACATAAATAAGCATATATAAAGTGTGTATCACTGTCATTAATTGCCACAGAGCTGGCTCTGACTCATAACAACCCTGTGTAAACAGAACACAACTCTGCTGGGTCCTGCACCATCTTCACGATTGTTATGTGTGTGTTTACGTTCCCCTTCTGGTCATTTTTATTATGTCTCATTTCATGATTATTTCTGAAAATAATCCGTTGTAGGGGAGTGTGTTTAAAAAAAAAAATCAATCTGCTTTGGGTGTCAAACATGCTAGTTACAGCACTGCTCTACAGTGGTCTCTTCCAACTGAGATTACTGACCCACATGGATTTATACCCCAAATCACCAATTATCTAAACACAAATTATAACTTTCAAGAAGTACTTGGAATGCCTTCCTATCTTTAAGTCAAAACCCGGGTTTCAGAACCTAATCCCACTAGTGAGTTACACTGATTTTCCTGCTGATAAACCAAAACCTGTTGCCGTCGAGTCAATTCCAACTCACAGAGACCCTACAGGACAGAAGAGAACTGCCCCACAGGGTTTCCAAGAAGCAGCTGGTGGACTTAAACTGCCGATGTTTTGGTTACCAAACACTAGTCACTTGAATACCAAAGTTTCTATGTGTTCCATTATGTCTTCACCGGCACCAATAAAGAGCTCTAAATTTGAAACAGTAAGATGTAATGTATACACCATAAAAATATTCAACAGGACAAGGGCAATCAGGGTGTAAGAAATTGTAACAGTTTGTAAATCTCTTCTAGTTCTCAAAAAAAAAACAAAAACAAAAACAAAAAAACACCGTGACAGTACAATATTAAAACCTGTTGCCATCAAGTCAATTCCGACTCACAGTGACCCTACAGGACAGAGTAGAACTGTCCCATAGAGTTTCCAAGGCTGTCACCTTTACAGAAGCAGACTATCACATCTTTCTTCTGAGGAGCAGCTGGTGGGTTTGAACTGCTGCCCCTTTAGTTAGCAGCCAATCACTTAACCACTGCGCCTCCAGGGCTCCTTAGTACAATGTTAATTACACCTACTATTAACACAGAAATGTAGAGACCTCTCTCCTAGTCGAAACTCTGAACGTATCTCGATAAGTCTATGCCTAATACAAATTTAACTATTATCTTTTTGTTTTCTGTGGTTTGACAGGAACAGAACTAGCAACAACTAATTAAACAACCAATGTTACAAAAATGTGAATTGTTAATAGGTAAGTGGCTTTTCTCTATACACCTGATAACAGTGTAGTTTTTTTTTTTTAAGCTTATCATTAAAGTTGTATGCTGTTGCTCTGAAGTAGGCTTAAAAGGGTTAGGCTTATTTATCTCAGTATGTTACAAATAATACTAAAGGCTCATCATTTATTAAGAGTTTTTTTCCCATCTTGATCCCAAGATATATTTAAAATGAGATTTGAATGTGTGCAACCACAGAAAAGTTACCCGGAATGCTAAAGAAAATTATATTCACTTGAGTTCCATGGCAGAGAAAAACAACCTACAATTTATATCTGGTTAAAAAAAAAAAAAAAAAAAAAGACCCTACCGTTCTGCCAACTTTCTATTAGGTATTAGGTACAGTTTTATCTTAAATTCTATTTTACAAGATTTATAAACTTTTTCATTATTCCGATTTTTCTCTGAATCAGTTCCTTACCAGTGTCCATGTAATTTTTACCCCCTGAAACAGAATACTAAATAAAACTATAGCCTAAGGCGGAAGATATGTCCAACAAGAACATCAGAGATATAAACGCTGCTAGAGAAAACTCTGAGGAGCTAGCTGTACTCTAGTCACACCAGAGCTCTGCTGCTGTCAGAGTCACAATTCCCTGAGAGCCAAGAAAGAGTAGAGGAAGAAAACTTTAATATCGAAAACTCCTGAGATAAGAGCATACTACAGTTAAATGAGAAATCCAGTTTTACTTCCATTCTTGATCTGGTCTTCCACATCTCTTCACACAGTGAGAACTTTGTTTCAACCCTTTGTCCATTTCTTTAGATAGACCTCTTAGAGAAGGGAACAACTGAAAACATCAAAAAATTAATATTACAGGTTAAAAAAAAAATAAGTAACTTAACAAAGCAGCTTCATCACATGATCTAGATTTGAAAGACAATTAGGCCTAATCAGTAAGTAAAACATACAATAGTCATACAGAACCCTTTCCAGTGGGAATAGGAAAGGGTAGCAAGCTCCAACTGAGGTGTGGCACTCCTTTCTTCCTTCAGGATAACATGGTGGTTCAAGAATGACAGCCTAACCGGATGAGTGTACCAATGTCACTTCATATATTAAGTATTCACAAAGCTTCATTTCGGTCTAATTTTAAAGATAAAAATGATAAAGGTACTGTTATTTTTTTCTTGCACTTCAAAATATCATCTCACATACCCCACCTCAGCTTCCTGGGTCCTAGTGCTGTAGTTCTCAGTGGCCTGAGAACCTGACTGCCCCTCAGTCTGTTTCAGTGGTATGTGATATCAAAACTGTTTTCATATAAACACTAAGACAGGTTTTGTCCTGTTAACTCACTTCCTCCCAAGTGGACAGCAATGTTCTTCCATAGCCTACCTGACATGTGTTATCAAGAGACTGAATGAAGCAGATACGAAGATCCAGCTTTCACTAAATAAAAGTTTAAAGGACATATGCAAACATGTAGAACAATGCCAATCTTCTCATTAATTGTTTTTGTATTCTGGAAAAGTTACTTTTTATAAAAATGTTATTTATGTTATGTAATGGGGGTTATGGTTATTCTTTTTAAGAAATCAATACATTTCTCAGTCTTAATTTCTGATATGGTCACCATCAATAGATATAACCCGTACATACAAAAGCTCTCTGTGGTCCTTATCTTTCAAGAGTATAAAGGGGTCTACGACTGAAAGTCTGAGAAGAGCCGCCCTAAACAGCTAGCCCTCTTACATATGTACACAAGGGAACATGTTTGAGAAAGTTCACTGCAGTCTGACAGCAAAAAATTAAGACACTTAAATGTTCATCAGCTGAGGAACCAGCTACTACACAGCAGTTAAGAATAAATCTTAATACATGGTATTAATAATGTCTGAGCAAAAAAAAGGCATATACCACTGATGTTTATCAAAACAGAATATTTGATGTGGTTATATTTTCTCTGCATTTTTTGTACTTTAAACATCTTAAATTTGTAGATGCTGCAAAGAAAGGAGGGTACAAAATATTCTTTTTTAACGAAAGATTGATTAAATGCTAAAAATGCAATCAACAGGCTTTAAAAAATCCAATGTATAACCTTTATTCACTGAACACTTACAAAGTACCAAAGTCTTCATACTTGAGGTGTATATATTCAACACAGAACACAACTGAGTACGGGCCATAATTGATCACTGATTCTTTTTCACTCATCTTTCTACCTTTTAAATGTCTTGCCTAAAGTCCTCCATATACTTGTTGAATGGGTATCTTTAATAACCTCACTTTTATCTACCTTCCCTTCTGTATCTTATACTTTTTCTTTCAACTACTCTTCTGTACCTTTCCGCATAGCCTCAATTTTGCTCCAAGTTAACCAACCTCTCTTGGAACTTTTAACTATGCTTTTCTTCCCCACCCTTCCCACCACCCACATGTCCAAGCCTCTACCCTCACTAACAGAGACCAGAGTCTCAATACTAACCAGTAACTCTGAGACCTTATATATACCATCTAAACATACACTCACTGCCTAGCATCAGTTCCTACCACACTGTTCTTCCTTCTGTTCATCCTTGAAGCAACTTTCCCTTCTAATCCCTCCTTACCAACCTCCTCAAAAGACCACTTTTCATTTGCTACCTCTAATTTCCTCATCTCCGATCACCATTCAATCCTAAACTTCAGATTCATCACCCTCAAGAACTTCAGTGGCCTTTAAAAAAAAGTATTTAACCTTTAGACACTCCCCTGGTATTACAAATGATCTTTAGGCAGCAATTAAATTGGAGAGACCCACATTCAAATCCCAGCTCTACCATTAGCTAGCAGTATGCCCTAGGGTGAACTGTTATTTAACTTCTTTGAGAATCAGTTTCCTCATCTATAAATGGATGTCTATGCAGGAAATATTAAATGAGATATGATACACCACAGGTGTTTATTAATGATTACTGTCTTTTCTCTTCACTCTCAATTTTCTCCAGGGTACATCTGGGAAGGACTCCCAGATGCCTTCCTCTATCTTTTGGTTGTTTCCAAGTTTGAGTCCTATATGCTCAACTGCTTGCCAAAAATTTCCACATGACTGTTCCACACATAACTCAAACTCAACCTGTTCAAAAACCAAACACATTTTCTTCTCCACTAAATATGCTTGTGATGACTGCTTGACTTGTGTGAATGGCATTACCACCCTCCCAGCGCTTAGAACGTGCAGGCTAACTAGCTTATTAAACCTATCAGATGCCACGGTACATGAATTCTGCTGGCCCACATTCTTCTCTCTCTTTTCCATTCTTACTATGGACTTGCCAAGTTCTACCTGCCTTTCCTACCTCAGTCCCCAGCTGCCCATCTCCCCCAAATCTCTGCCTCCTACAACGCATCCAACATACCACTACAAATCAAGCAGAGCTTTGATTCTATCACTCCACTACTCCAACCTTCATTGTTTACCCACAGCCTGAAAATGAAATGCAAACACATTAGACAGACATAAAACCTGTAAATGTCAAGTCTCAAATTGCTTTATCATTCTACTTTCCAACAACCTTTTCCTTTCCAGTTGTTGTAGAGTTAATTCCGACTCATGGCGACTCCATGTGTTTCCAAGTAGAACTGCCCTCCGTAGGGTTTTCATGGCTGTGACTTTTTAGAAGCAGATCACCAGGCCTTTCTTCCGAGGTGCCTCTGAGTGGGTCTGAACTACCAACCTTTTAGGTTAGTAGCCCAACACTTAACCATTTGCACCACCCAGGGACTTGGAGTCAAACTACTAACTTCTTTCTCAGCACTGCTGCCCTCTAATCAGTTTCCTACACCTTCTGAAATACCAAACTGATGTCGTCTTCTCTTTCCAAGTTCTCACTAACCCCCTATGGCCATTCCACAGTACTTCATAAAGGCCCTCAAAGGAAGCTATCACATATTCATGTTATTTGCCTAAATCTACTGTTCCCCATTAGGACCTGGGGGGACAGAGCCCCTCTGTAGTCTCACAGCATTCAGGACAGTCTTGCAGTTGAGCAGGCACTCAAGTGTTTGTGAAATGGTTAGATTTAGGGGAAGTCCAGGTTAGAGGGAACAGATCAAATAAATAACATTTCACGAATGAGGAGAAACAGTTCAGACACACAACAAATCAAGCAAGCACAAGATGGATCTTAGAGTCAAACAAATTTCTCCAGAAAAAAAGTTTTCATCTAGCAGAAGAGAGTTGAAACTGGCAACATACACCTCACATAATGCAGTTTGCAGTTCATAAAATAAGATTAGGAACAGAAAAGAAAGCTTTAGGAGGAAAACAAGCAATGATAAGAAAATTCTCATTCTGCATGTTTTAAAAGGTTAACGTACCATTCCTAATTTTGCTTTAAAACCTATTGAACACTTTTTCAGGATTAACATAAGTTACTTTGATTAATAATGTGATAGATATCAACTTCATAATGCCTAAGTCAGAATTAAATAATTTTGATGTTAAGAACACACTTAAAATCCTCTCTTCATTCATTAAAAATCACCACTAAAACTATTCTAAGTTAAGTTTTACTCTGGGATGGAAATATACTGGAAATACCACAAAACTAATCTGGATGTGTATAAATACTCATTCACCAGGTATTTGCTGAGCACTTACTATGGAGGAGAGGGGTAAGAGAACACAACTCCCTGCCCTCACACAGCCAACATTCCAATGAATTCTGCCTTCAGGAAACAAAGTCAACTTCCAACCCTCAACTATCTGGAGATATAACAAACTCTCTAGCTATCAAAATTCAGGAATTCTTTTTTTGTTACTTTAAAAATCATCATTACTGAACTTTTGCAAGACACTGTCCAATACCAGGTGCAACTAGTTTAGTTTGGATATTTTATGTACCTATCAGCTGAAGACAAGTCACTTCTAGAATAATTTGTAAGGCGACTAATGGTCTTAACTAGGGCGTAACTAGAGGGTCCCATATCATGGCACTGCAAATGAGAAGAAAAGTTACCGCACCATAATCCTCTTACAAGTGAAGCTACAAAATCTGACGGTGAGATGCAGCAAGTTTTTAACGCCCTATCAGATACTTCGAACGTGTGACTCCCCCCCATGTTGGTTTACCTTCAGCATTTGAAAAGGGGGGAAAAAATCCAACTCAACACATGATGATAGTTTATCTTCGGTAACTGCACTGTAAATCCTCGATTGGTCAAGTTCCTCCTCCCCCTCCCCTCGATTCTGATAAATAAATGTGTGGGCTCTACACTCCAAGATCAGGACCTGGAATGATCTGCGATACAACTAGAAAACTTGAAAGCGGCGGGCAGCTTTGTTCCCGGTTTAGAGAGGTTTTCACATGTAAATGTCCCGAAGAAGGGAGCCAAGATTAACTACCTCCGGAGGCAGTACGAAGGTGGGGGACTGGACGCCGACTTTCCAGCGGACTCAGGCGGAGCACACACTCTGCTTTCCAGTTCAACTTTTTAGGTGTCACGCTGGGGCCAGAGCTCGTGGGCTAAATTCACGACTCGAAATAAAAAGCAGCCCACCCGCTCTGCGTGCGCTAATCCCGTTTCCCGAACGTGTGAGCCCCAGAGGGCGGGTGAGCACGCTCCCAGCTCCTCCTCAGCCCAGGATCAGAGTCCAGGCGCCGGAACGCCGCGGCCCGAGCAACAACGAGAGCCGAGGCCGGCAGATGCTCCCGCCCCCCGCCCCCCACGCCCCCC